AGGGGGATCCTGTAACAAAAAATTGTGGTTGTGTATTTTGACCTATATAGTAGCTACCTGAGGGACTGGCTCAGGAGATTGCCTTCATTTTATTTGCCTCATCCTTGAGCTTTTTCAGGACTGACATGGCCTGCCAAGAGGCATTTGTCAAAAGCATTTAAAGGAAAATATATACTAGCTGCAGCCACCTATGGGAAGGAATAAAAGATGGGAGTGGTGGTATACATATTGAAAAGCCTGGGAAGAAAGAGGCTGGGGAAGGAGCTACTTGGGGCATGCAGGTTTTGAAAAGCATCTGTGTATACAGGGGAATCTAAAAAATACCCGAGAAGATCTTAGGCTCCATCTCTTACTACCTTTTAGGCTCTGTGCAAGCAGGAAGTGAAGGCTAAGGTAGAGTTGTAAATGGCCTGGCTAAGCCTTGAAGGAGTGCCCCAATACCCAGCCAATCTGCAAAGACTGAGAGAGTGTTTTTTATTTTTGGTTCTAGATATTTAAGAAAATATCTGTGAAATCACTAGCTGACTGTTACTCTAGTAAAATAAAGACTTCAGTGAGCATACAAGATGAAAAATATCTTTATAAAAATATCTGTATAAAATATCTTTATAAAAATCTTTATAAAAATAATTTAGAAAAGTCACTAAACAAACACCTAGAACCCACAACAAGCAACAACAATGAATTCGTGGGGAGGGGGACAGAGAGACTCCCATTTCTAGTGATACCACAGCATTATATTCAAAATATTCCATTTTCAACAATAAAAAAAATTACTAGGCATGTGAAAAATTAAAAACGTATAACCCATTCGTAGGAAAAAATTAATTAAAAACTCCCTGAGGAAGCCCAGACATTGGACTTACCAGACAAGACTTCAAATCAACTATCTCGCTAACTGACCTAGCTCCATCTACCTCTTCTACCTCACCTTGTATCAGTCAATGCTTTGCTCACTATTGCCAGTCACACTGGCCATCCTGGTGAGCTTCAGACCATCAAGCTTATTCCTGCCTTCAGACATGCTGTGTACTCTCTTCTGGAACATTCTCCCATTTTGTTGCATAGTTCACTCCATACAGTCTGTCTCTGTTCATATTCCACCTCCTCAGAGGCACCTTTCCTGACTACTTAATCTAAAATGGCTATGCTCATCCCAACTTCCTACAATTTTTGCTCCCTTTCATTGTTAAGTTCATCACTCTTTGAAATTACTTTCATTCATTCATCCTTTGTTGACTGATTTATGATTGATTGATTTTATTTTCCCCTTACTAGAAGGTAAGCTCCTTGGCAGCAGGTGCTTTATTTGTATCATTTACTGTGGATCACCCTCCTATAACAGTGAGCTAGGCTAAATAAATGCTTATCAAATGAACAAAGATGATTTATATGTGTTGAATAATAATAAAAAATATAAAAAGCTTATAAAATTCTTCTGAGAAGTCTCCCTCAGTTCAGAAATTTCGCTCACTAGCTGTTCGGTGAATCTACTAGAGGAAATCTGTCCATTGGTGATGCTTCAAATGAAGTGAGAGAACAAAATGTCTGATGCCACCATGGCCTGTCATTTCCTTCCCAGGGAAGGTAATCATAGGCATGTTAGGGGTAGTGGTGAGAAAACCTCTGCCTCCCTGTAAGCACTGGCTTGGTCAGGGAATGAGTGTGTGTCAGTTAGCTGCAGGCTAACCTCTATGTGTGGTCCCCTGAGACCAAGAAAGCCAGAACAGTTTTGGTGGTAGCAGTGACAGAGGTGTCAAGATTTCGAAGTAGTACTATCTTTGGCAGAGGTTCAAAACAGGGTGGGTAATATAAAAATGCTGCTACATATTGCCTTGAGCTTAAAATAAAAGCGGGGACAGTAGATTGACTGGTCTTTGTCTCTTCTTGTTCTGAAACTTCAGAATCATTGCCCAGAGAAAAGAGTTCTTCTTGATTCTGGCAAGTTCTAAAACAACCTGAGAGGAGAAATTATTCTGTAGAACTAAATTTATGAACAGCTGTGGGCTTATCTCATTAAGGATTAAACAGTTTTCATTTTGGATGAAAATCTTTCTAGAACCTATTATATACATCCTCTACCTTTTCATTACATTAACTACTTTCCTTTCTTCCCAAATTCACTATAATGAGCTCAGCAACATCTTCCCAGGCAGTAGGGCATCCTGATAAGCATGTTGCTTCTGAAGCCAGACAGCTTGGATTCAAAGCTTGGCTTTGTCACTCACCTGTTGGGCAGGTTAACACTCTATGCCTCAGTTTCTTTATCTGTAAATAGGGATAATATTAGTACCTTCCTCATAGGTTCTTGTAAGGACTAAATGAATTAATACATGTCATATACTTAACACATTGCCTGGGATATAGTACTGCTTGGAAAATGTTTGCTGCTGCTGCTGCTATAACTATACTGTTACAATTATTACTACAGCAAGTTTTCTTTTGGTGTCTTGAGCTCGTTATAAAGATGATAAATTATAATATGCTGCAACCTAGTGATAACTTCTTAAAGGGCACAGCATTATTGGCTTTTACATAAAATGGCCCCAGACTGATTTGCTGGAGTGGTCTAATACGCTGTTTTACAGCTCTTGTATTTTCCTTTGTGAAGTCCCCTTTTCACTTCTCACTGTTGTTGCTAATTTTTCATATCTATATCAGCCTTTTCCATGCTTCCATTTTTGCAGGAGGCATAAAAAAGAGTTAACCAATTTGTTAGACATGTGTGTTAAGTAAAAGCTAATATATTCTAAACTAAGTTGAAAAAACTCTTCTATGGATGGAGAGAAGAACTTGAGTCCATGGACAACTCTTTTGACTATTCAGAGGTATTTTATTTGTTATTGTTTCTTGCTTCTTAGATAAATATAAAAAGTTACTATAAAAGTAAGTTTCTGGGATAATAGATGTAACAATGGTAATACATAAAGTTAAAATTAACAAACCTCTAATTGAGTTCAAATAAATACTCATTACAGTCCTATTACATGCTAGATACAACAAAAATGAATGATATGGTTCTGAACTATAAGAAGCTTGCAATTAAGAAGAGGAGATAAAGTATAAACAAACAATATCAAGATAACATAGCTAGAGATACTAAAGATTTTAGACTAGGTATTACAGGAGTCTAGAGGAAGGGCCCTTAGCCTAACCTGGGGATTTTAGGGAAAGCTTCCTGAAAGAGGATCATGCCTAAACTGAGCTTGATGACAGCCAGGTGAAGAAAGGTTAGATGGGCTATTCTAAGCATGGAAACATGAGAAGTGATGAGACGGGAAGCAGCACAGTGCTTTCGTGAGAGTATGTAGCTGTGGGTATAAATAATAGTTTGATATTGCTGTGATTAAAAAATGAGATGGGAAATGGTGGGAAATGAAGCTAGGAGGTAGATTATAGGGAACAGATTCAAGAGGTCCTCATATGTCATGCTGAGAAGCTTGAATATTACTTGTTAAGAGATGAGAAGCCATTAAGAACACTTGGAAAAAAATGGCAGTTTGCAGATTTTCACTTTAGATGTATAACTCAGTGAGCAGTGTAAAAGACAGCAAAACTAGAAAAGACTGTGGGAAGAGGGACCAGTTATGTGGTTGTTGCAATTAACAAGCTAGAGATAGTAAGAACTGAAAGGAGACAAGGCAGCAAGGATGCTGTGGATGCTGTGGAAGAGAGGGTCCCAGATGTATTTGGAAGATAAAATTGGAAGGTCCTGGCGACTTATTAGATGAGTTGGGGACAAGGTGGAGAGAAATCTAGGATGGCCTCGAGTTACTAGGAAGATGATAATTTAACTGAGGGAGAAATAGGTGGGTTTTCGTCTTTTGTTTTTTAATTTAGTTTCTTTTTTTTCTTTTGGGGGGTGGGCATAGGAGGATAAAATAGTGAGTTCAGGCTGGGACATATTAAGCCTGAGGTAATTATGGGAGAAGTACGAACTGGAGATATTTTAGAGTAATTAACAATAGATAGAATCATGAAAGCAAATGGCAGCCCCTAGATAAAAGTAAGAAAAGAGAAGAGCAGCAGAACAACAGTGAGATATCAAAAGAGGGACAGAGGTAGATGGCCCATGAAAGAAACTGAGACTCATATTGAGAGACACAGGGAGAGAACAGCGCCATGAAAGCTAAAGCCACGTATGAGTTTTAGATATAGTGGTCAGTAAAGTTAAACACACTCATAACAGCTACATTTTCTGAGCACTCACTACATGTCAGGCACTTTGTGGTTTTATATACCATATCTCATTTAATATATTATCCACATGGTACAGATGATGAACCTGAAGTTCAGAGAAGTCATGTAACTTACCTGAGGTCATAGGGTAAACTGGCAGAACTGGGATCTGAAACCAGGTCTGCTGGATTACAAAACCCATGTTCTTAACTCTGCTGGAGTAAAATAACTTCTTGAAGATGCAACTTAGTATTATCATAAGGACTGCTATATATTGCTTTTCCAAGAAGCGTATCTTAAAACCTGTCTAGTAATCTCAAAATAACATTTAATGTCTAATGAGGTCATTATGTATCTGATCACTTTATAACATCAAAATAGGTGATTTCAGTGATACCTTTTAATAATCTTTTTATTTCATAAATACTACACTGGTCAAATTATGAGAACAATAAGGTGCAATACAAGACAATCCACTCAATTGAGTAAAGCCCAGCTCCAATAAACCCAAAAGGAAGGTCCTCATTGGACTAGCTAGTGTTCTTCACAGGAAAACGAAGTGCCTTGGACTTAGATCTAAGCATCCTCAGCTCTCTCACAGGTTTACTGTTGGTCCCAGGGAGAGTCAGAGAGAGTATGCATAATTTAGCACAAACCTACCATAAATGTGGACGATTTCATTAAATTATACATTCTACGGAAGGTTTATTTGAGATAATAAATGATTATCCATTAAAGAGAGAATAAGAAAGTCACATTTCGATTATAAAAGTTGTAATTTTTTCACTTCCCACTAGAGGAAGCAATAGCATTACTCTTACCATTTGGTGGGTAAAAGACAGCATATTCTTCCAGTCCTAGTTTTCCTATAAGAGAAAACCATAGAGGATTTCAATATGATTAAGTAAATAAATCTTTAAAAATCAACTTATTTTGTGAATGTACTAACAATGGAATTTTAAAAACTACTATAAACTGATATGTCATTTCATGATATGGAATTTAGTTAAAAATTTACCAGCCAATATTTTGGTATTAGCAAACTCTTTCATAAATTAAAGTAATACGAACCTAAGTGCAACAGAAGCGACACAAAACAACCAAAAGAACAAACACTTTCAAGTTCCTTAGGCACTTAAGAAGAGAAATATCTATTTACTATGCATAAAATTTTTTGCTAATTATAAATAAGTCTAATCTATTCATTAAAGCAAGTCTTAAGCTTTGCAATACTGTGTTTACATCTTTATGGAATGTGCTGAAAGTTAAAAATTAAATGACCAGCTGTATGGTGGTCATATTTTCTGAATACCAGAACAGTTAACATGATTTCAGAATGGGGCTGAATATTTGAAATCAGAATTGTCCCAGAAAAGTAAAGTATATTCACAATAATCAAATATTTAACAGAGTTTTAAAAAGTATCTTTCCTTCAGAACTCTGAAAAGTTCTCAGTTTTTTCCATCTTCCACTGAATATCTTTAAATAGCTTTTACCTTGACCGTTTTTCTAACACTTTTGAGTTTATTGAAAAGTTACTTGTATTTTTGTACTGGGCTAAGAGTAATATTTTTAGTGAAAAAAAAAGTTCTTTTTATTTTTGTTAGGGGTGGTGACAGAGATGAAATGAAGAATAAGAAATGTAAGCAGTTCAGGTTAGGGTGGAGACAAAAAGGACTGATCTTGTGAGCAAGAAGAGAATGGAATAATGAATAGGTAGGTAGGTAGGTAGGTAGATAAAACTGATTACTGGACTAGGTGCTGAGAGGCAAACCCTCAACCATGTGGTTTGTAGTCCAGACCAAACCATGAAACATTAGGGTATATTTGCTAACTTTTCTAGCATAGACTTTAAGTGTTTAGAAGTTCAAAGGAGAGAGAAATGGATGATGGGTTGGTGGACATGGTGAGGTACAGGCTAGTTCTTCAAGGAAATATGATTTTTAAGATTGGAGAGTGGGAAGCCTTCCATATGCAGGGACTATAGGGAGGCTAGAATGAATATGGGGTATTGTGGAATAATCAGGGAAGCAAAGTTAGTTAGGTTAAGACAGTATCAAGTGGTAAAAGGCCTTAAAATCCTGGCTGAGTTTAGAGGTGAGCTCAGTAGATAATTAAGTTTACAATCGGTTTTTCAGCAGATGACTTAAAGAAACAAATAAAAGGTTTCCATAAATTGAATTTAGAAGCAATGGACCTCAGAAAACCTTAAGTTAGGGGTAGCCCAAATCCAGCACAAGGTTATGTGGCCTCTCCTAGGGTAGGAGGTGGAACAATCAGGCAGATAGTTCAGACATAAGAGATACAGGAGAAACAGTTTCTTTTTTCGTGGAAATGGCAGAATGACCATACACAATGAAGTCTGAGCTTTCAGTGTTAGGTGTTCACTATTTAATAAAAAGGAAAAGTTGGGAAGGGCATTCAGCTGAAGTTATTTATATCTTCAGATGACGGCAGGATATTGATATTTTATAAGCAGCTGGTGATAAAGAGGAGAAAAATAACTAAACTAGAAATTGGAGAGCTAAAAGCATATAAATTATATCAAAGTTTTAAGTGTGGTGGAGCATTTTGAGAGAAGAAATATAGATTTTTTTAAAAGTAGAAAAAGCAAATCTGTGTTATAAACTCATAGAAAGAAAAAGAAAAGTCAACAGATAAGACATAAAAACAACAATAAATGGTAGAGTACACAGGGAAGACAGAGAAAGTAAGTTGAAATGCTGCTTCTGGGAACCACTTTCCCATGATTTGTGATAAATTACTTGGGCACTGATTTGAGGTATGAAAGGATGATTACGGTCATCTGAGAGAAATCTTAAGTAACTTATAGTAAAATAATTTGGCAACACCACTATCTCCAAAAAAAAATATTCTTGGCATGATTATGTAAGTCTTAATACTTCCTTAAAATTATTAAAAATTTACCTCTTATGTATGATTTTGGTGGCGAGGCACTGTTGTATGCAAAGTGACTCAACACAGATGTATCCCGGGAAAAACAAAGTAATACCTGAATATAACATTGGAAAAAAAAAAAGCAATTAAGCACTATTATAAAACTAGGTAATTCATTATTTCCTATTCAGGAGGCATCCTTCAAGTTCAAGTACCATGCCTTGCAGTGGGAAGAATGCCCTTTATCGGTATACCTTTGGTAAGCATTACAGTGGGATGCCAAGTTCTTCCAAAGAGTTCTCACCATTTGCTACCTCAACTTTGAAGAACAGAAAATGCAAACTGCTAACTAACAGTTGATTATTCTCTTGTGTTTTCTATCTAGACAAGAGAAACACCTGGGAGAAATTTAACAGATGAAAAATGTATGGAGAAGACCCTGAATAACTATTGTGACATAGAGCAATTTGGGAAGTGCAGGAAATGAACTTGACTCTTGCTGGGATGCATCAGGCAGTTAGGCATGTCAGGGTGGGAGGGAAGGCAACTCGTGGTACTTAGAAAGGATAGCAGCAGCAGTAGAACAAGTGGTTGCCTAATAAAGGGTAGAAGCTAAATAGGGTAGAGTATGTCAACCCTACGTGGAGATGAAAATAGGCACAGTAGAAAGTCAGGAACCAGGATGTCCATTAGGAGGTACTAGATTGAGGACACCAGCCTGGAATTTGGGAGCAGGAGTCCAAGACCCAGTAAGGCCATTAGTGACAGGAAATCTGAGTCCTGGTATTAGAATATCTGGGATTCTAAAAATATTACCAAGATAAGAATTCAAGATGACTGAAAAGGCAGAACAGGGGCACAGAGTCAGGGCTGAACTAGCAGCAAGAGTGAAGGCAGAGGAAAAATCCTTGTGTCCAAGACACAAGAAAGGGGATACAGCTTTGGAAAAAAGGATAGGTAATGGAGATTGGGCATCAGTCAGGTTTAATGGTGGAATGCGTATCAACCACTGCCACTGCATTGTTTTCATTATATTTTAAATGACTACATAAGTGATACATATTAATGATAAATTTAGAAATATAGAGTATTGGCTGGGCATGGTAGCTCACGCCTATGACCCCAGCACTTCGGGAGGCCAAGGCAGGAGGATCACTTGAGCCCAGGAATTCAAGACCAGCCTGATCAACATGGTGAAACCTCATCTCTATTTAAAAAAAAAATTAAATTAATTTTTAAAATAAAGAAATATAGATGATCAACAAAAGGGGAAACAGCCATAATCCCATCAGTCTTAATAATTTGAGGTATATCCTTTCAGACTGTTTTTTAACATACTCATACATATAATTTTTTCAAACCAAACAGGATTATACATAGTTTCCTTTCACTATTGTAAGATAAATATTTCCTACACATTTTTATGTTGTAGAATATTCCACTGTATGAAAGAACAATAATTTATTTAACCTGTATTGTTGTTGAACATTTAATTATTTCCACTTTTCCCCAATGACAAACAACACTAGAGTGAATTTACTTATGGCTAAATATGTACACCTTTAGTTATTTTAATACCAAAAACTGGACCACCTTTCTGGTCAATTGCTTTGGGTATTTTTAATTGAACCATGCCTCTCCCACATTTTCTCTATCTACTTCTGCCTGACTCCTGGGAGCTGTAAGATTTACCTACACATATTCAACCTGCCATGCCTTTTACTTACTTTTATCCCCCCTGTTCCATTCTGGATGACTTCCTCAGATTATTTTTTAGTCAGTTCACTAATTCTCTTCTTCTGCCCCTACTATGCACCAGGTACTGTTCCTTGTGTTTGGAATATATAAAAGGAAACAAACAAAACACCTCTTTTATGGAGTTTAATTATGATGGAGCAAAATGTGTGTGATAAATAGCAAATATGATAGATAATTATATTATATACTATATTAGGTAGCAAGTGCTATGGAAACAAGATAAAGGGGAACACAGAAAGAGTGGCTGACGCTTTAAAGAGGCTGTTCAGGGGAGGTTTCCTTGAGAAGGTGATACCTAATCAAATATTGAAAGGAGTTGAGAAACTTAGCATGTGGATATATGTGCAAGAGCATTCCAGGAGACTTGTTAGGAGACTATTGACAGTAGCTTTCACTAAGATGGCAGCAGTGTGTGGCAGATGTATGACACACCACCCAGAGAGCCTCCTCTAGGAATGAAGGACTGACTTACAGCAGCTGGTAGTGCTGTAGCAAATAACCCTCAGCAGCCAGCTCTTTTCATGGACTACCTCTGCTGAAGAGAGCTATTTTGCTCAAGTATCAAGGTCACGCCTGTTTCCTGAAATGGCCTACATCTGATGAAGAGGATGCAAGGGAAAAAAGTCTGAAATTCTTGTCCCCAGCTCAGGATGGGTCTGACAGTTTATCCCATCTTTAGAACTCTCTGCAGCATTGGCTGAGGGTTTCATTTAAACTGTATTGCAGCTAGACTTGTCCTTATGCTCAATCTTGCTTCATTCACTGGACTTCTACATGTGTTGATTCCAAGAGCACTCCCTAATAAACCTTTGGCCTGCTGGTCTCCATCTAAATTGGCTTCCCTGGGAACCCATCTTACAACACAGTGAAAGTGGGAAAAAGTGGTCAGATTCTAAATACATTGTGAAGGCAGGGCTAACAGGAGTTACTGATAGATTGAGATGATATTTTGCAGAAAGACAGGAGTCAAGGAGAGTAACATGTGGAAGTTGAAAGTAGAAGGATGTTTGATCTCAGCAAGTGGAATGCCTTTAACAGGGAAAGTGGCAGGCAGAACAGTTTGGGGAGCGAGATCATGGGTTCATTTTTCAACATGCTAAGTTTGAGATGTCTGCAAGACACCTAAATGGAAAAATTGAAGAGGTAACTGGAGATATTTGTATGGAGTATAGAAGAAAAGTTTAAACTGCAGATACAAATTTGAGAGTTATCAACATATAGATGGTACTGAAAGCCACAAAATAGGTGAGCTTGGTGAAATCATCAAGTAAGTGAGTGTAACTAGAGAAAAGGAGACCAAGAACTGAGACCTGAGGCATTCTAGGATATTGGAGAAAAGAGAAGGAACCAGCCTAGACAACGGAGTACTGAGTAACCATCAAAAGTGGATTTACCATGATGCTCTGTGAGTGCTGCAAGTTGCTGGGAGACACAGAGTGTCCTAGGCAAGGAAAGTAAGTCAGTGTGTAATCAGAAAGCATTTCTATGTATGTGTCTAGTAAACTGCTTAATAAGATCTCAGAAGAAAAAGACCTGAATCTCTATAGTTCTAATAATTTGTTACAAATTTTTCCTCATTCAAAACAAAAATACATGTTCTTATCTGGTTTTGTATTTATAATATGATACTCTCTGTCTTAAAGAAGGCCCTCCAAATTGTATAAGCTTTAGGTCCGCAAAATGCTGAATTTGCCACTGGTGACTAGAAAAATAAGAGGAAAACTAAAAAGAATGTGGTGTCTTGAAACCCAAGTGAAGAAACAGCACAAATGAATCATATGCTGTTGAGAGATTAGTTAAAAGGAGGGTGGATAATTGGTCATTGGATTTAGTTCTTGATGACCTTGACAAGAGTAGTTTCAGCTCAAGTGGTAGGAGCACCATACACAATGTTTGGTACCTGCTTTTTTAAACAAACTTAATGCATTAAAGAGATCTTTTCGTATCAGTATATACAGAGCTGTCTCATTTTTTTTCTTTTTTTGTTTTTTTGGTAGAGACAGGGTCTATTTATGTTGCCCAGGCTGGTCTTGAACTCTTGGGCTCAAGTAATCCTCCTGCCTCAGTCTTCCAAAGTGCTGGGATTACAGGCATGAGCCACTGAGTTTGACCCACTACATTCATTTTTAAAGGGCTGTATCATGTTTCACTGAATATGTATTCCATGATTTATTTAATGGGTTACTCCCCAATATATGAACATTCATTTTCAACTTTATGCTATTTCTGACAATACCAAAACAATTAGCCTTTTACTGCATCATTTTACACATATGAGTGTCTCTGTAGAACAAATACACAGGAATAGAATTGCCCAGTCACAGAGTATACGCATTGAAAAATGTGATGGCTATTTGACTGTATATTTATATCCCTTGTTTTCTTTTTCCAGCATTTCCATATGTTTACAGTCTAAAAGGGGGCTGTGTAAGTTCAATCCCTTATGTTGCCTAACTCTATTTTCTATTACATAGTCTAAATGATTATTACTCATATTTAAAAGAGTAAGGGATTTTAATATTTTATTTGGTAAAGAGGCAGTTAACTGAATCATCTTATTAGTTCTACTGGCTTTCAGTCCAATCCCTTGAATTTTTAAATATCTATAGTTAACAATAATGTTGTGTTCTTTCTGTTATTTATTACTTTATTTTTCTTATTCTATTGTTGAGAAATTCCAAAACGATATGTTCTTTTCTTCCTTTAGTGGGAACATCTCTAATATTTCACTAATGAGTAACATTAACTTACATTAATATCACCAATGTTGGTTTCAGATAAACACTATTATGTCAAGAAAATATATTAATACTTGATTTCTAGTGTATAAAAAGTTAGTATAAAAATGAATATTAAGTTGCAGAACAAATAGTGCTAAACTATACCCTTAGAAATGGTTAAGTCATCAATTTTATGTTGTGATTTGTTTTACTACAATTAAATTTTTTTTAATTGATATTATCAAATATGGTCTCACATAAATTTTTGGCATCTATTAAGATAAACGTGAATTTTATTTTTTGATCTATTAATATAATAAATATTTTCCAATAATTAAGAAAAACCATTGGGCTCTAAAAATTCTAAATTTATAAATATTAATCTCTTCTCCTGCCAAACTTTCACATACCACTGTGGTAGGTAGCATAATGGCCCCCAAAGATGTACGCATCCTAATCCCTGAAATTTGTGTGCTACCAGTTTGGATATGGTTTGTCCCTGTGAAAACTCCTGTTAAAATTTGATTTCCAATGTGGTAGTGCTGGGAGATGGGCCTGGTGGGAGGTGTCTGGGTCATGTGGGCAGATCCTTTATGAATAGCTTAAAGTATCTCTGTGGGACAGGACTAGTTGCCGT